CCATCGTTAGGAGGGTGTGTTATCCAGCTCGTGGGCCAGGAACAGCTGCCACCAGTTGGGGAATTAGACAAGAGGACACGGCGAGGCAGGCATACAGTGTCCAAACTGCCCCCCTGCACACCAATCACCAAGTGCTAACCTGTGGCTTTTTTTGTCAACCCGGCCTTCCCACAGGTAGGAGCCTCACCAGATGCCATCGTGAGCTGCATCTGTTGTGGGAAAGGCTGCTTGGAGGTAAAATGCCCAGCTAAATACAAGAACTGCACTATCCTCCAAGCCTGCTCCTCGGATGACCGCAACTTCTGCTTGCATGTTGTTGATGGTCAGGTGCACCTTAAAAAGAGTCACCCGTATTACACCCAAGTCCAGACACTCCTACTGCGACTTTGTTGTGTGGACCTTGATGGACACAGTGAATAGCTCCAGACCGTGCTTTTTGGAAGGCACGACTCCAGAAGGCAACTTGCGGTGCAATACTACACTATCCCCACCTGTCAACCATCACCTGGTCACAGGTGCTACGTGAACTGCAACAGCCACAACAAGTGGTGGGAAGAGGCGCGAAGGCAGCCAGCCAAAAAAGCCAAGGAAGTGTGGTGTCTCTGTTCTGGACCAGAGGAGGGTGACATGGTGGCCTGTGACAACCAGCTCCTGAGGACTCTTAGGATTTGTACTTACTCAAGAGAAATTCTGGTTACGAGAAAATTACGAGAAAATTTCATGAATGCCACAATCTTCGTAAAATCCTCGTAAGTAGGATTTACGCACAAATTTGTTCGTAAGAACCGTTCGTGAATGAGGCCCATTGTTTTTAACCAAACTTTTTAGCACTTTGTGTTGCACCTTCTGTATGAAAAGCGCTTTATAAATAAAATGTCATTGACGTATTGTGTGTGTGTCATGCTGTACCAACTACAGCGATGTACAAACACATGCTCAGCGCCTGCTCTCAGATCAGATCAGATCAGATCAGATCAGATCCAGCCTCGTCCAATATACAGTGCCTTGCGAAAGTATCCGCCCCCCTTAAACCTTTCAACATTTTGCCACATTTCAGGTTTCAAACATAAAGATAACATTTTAATTTTTTGTCAATAATCAACAAGTGGGACACAATTGTGAAGTGGAACGAAATTAATTGAATAATTTAAACTTTTTTAACAAATAAAAAACTGAAAAGTGGGGCGTGCAATATTATTCGGCCCCCTTGCGCTAATACTTTGTAGCGCCACCTTTTGCTGCAATTACAGCTGCAAGTCGCTTGGGGTATGTCTCTGTTTTGCACATCGAGAGACTGGAATTCTTTCCCATTCTTCCTTGCAAAACAGCTGGAGCTCAGTGAGGTTGGATGGAGAGCGTTTGTGAACAGCAGTCTTCAGCTCTTTCCACAGATTCTCGATTGGATTCAGGTCTGGACTTTGACTTGGCCATTCTAACACCTGGATACGTCTATTTGTGAACCATTCCATTGTAGATTTGGCTTTATGTTTTGGATCATTGTCCTGTTGGAAGATAAATCTCCGTCCCAGTCTCAGGTCTTTTGCAGACTCCAACAGGTTTTCTTCCAGAATGGTCCTGTATTTGGCTCCATCCATCTTCCCATCAATTTTAGCCATCTTCCCTGTCCCTGCTGAAGAAAAGCAGGCCCAAAGCATGATGCTGCCACCACCATGTTTGACAGTGGGGATGGTGTGTTCAGGGTGATGAGCTGTGTTGCTTTTACACCAAACATATCGTTTTGCATTGTGGCCAAAAAGTTCGATTTTGGTTTCATCTGACCAGAGCACCTTCTTCCACATGTTTGGTGTGTCTCCCAGGTGGCTTGTGGCAAACTTTAAACGAGAATTTTTATGGATATCTTTGAGAAATGGCTTTCTTCTTGCCACTCTTCCATAAAGGTCAGATTTGTGCAGTGCACGACTGATTGTTGTCCTATGGACAGACTCTCCCACCTCAGCTGTAGTTATCTGCAGTTCATCCAGAGTGATCATGGGCCTCTTGGCTGCATCTCTGATCAGTCTTCTCCTTGTTTGAGATGAAAGTTTGGAGGGACGGCCGGGTCTTGGTAGATTTGCAGTGGTCTGATACTCCTTCCATTTCAATATAATTGCTTGCACAGTGCTCCTTGAGATGTTTAAAGCTTGGGAAATCTTTTTGTATCCAAATCCGGCTTTAAACTTCTCCACAACAGTATCTCGGACCTGCCTGGTGTGTTCCTTTGTCTTCATGGTTCTCTCTGCGCTTTAAACAGAACCCTGAGACTATCAAAGAGCAGGTGCATTTATACGGAGACTTGATTACACACAGGTGCATTCTTTTTATCATCATCAGTCATTTAGGACAACATTGGATCATTCAAAGATCCTCACTGAACTTCTGGAGTGAGTTTGCTGCACTGAAAGTAAAGGGGCCGAATAATATTGCACGCCCCACTTTTAACCACAAGTTTAAATTATCCAATAAATTTCGTTCCACTTAACGATTGTGTCCCACATGTTGTTGAGTCATGACAAAAAATTAAAATTTTAATCTTTTTCTTTGAAGCCTGAAATGTGGCGAAATGTTGAAAGGTTACTTTTGCAAGGCACTGTAGCGCGTCAGAGGGGAGTGTGGGTGGGGGAGGTGGAGGGGAAGACCACCATAGACTGAAAAGAGAGGGAGGTATGAAAGAGCAATAATTAGACTAATAATGAGCATGAAACTGTTACAGGACGAACATGTGTTAAAACACAAGAGCAGGAACAGGTTTTCTCAGCCTGGGTTCGAATCCCGGTCGGACCAGGGCCTTTCTGAGTAGAGTTTGCATCTGCTCCCTGTGTTTGTGTAGGTTTCCTCCGGGTACTCCGGTTTCCCCTACCACTAAAAACCTGTACAATAGGTCTGGCATGTGCCTCCTGTACTGGCCCCGCTCACATCTCTGTGTGGAGTGAGAGAATAATGCCCAAAAGTAACAATTGTAAACCTCTTTGTGACTCTGGTCTGTGAAAGGTGGTATATAAATAAAGATTACTTACTTACTTCATTGGAATAAAACTACACTTTTTATAAATTACTTTTTATTACATGGATTTATACTAGGGCTGTCAAAATGATCGCGTTAACTCACGTTAATTACATTTTTTATTAACGCGTTATTTTTTTTTTAAACGCATTAACGCATTTCCGAATGACCCGCCCATTTATCCATAAGAATATCACTCAGAATGCTGCGTATGAGATGGCCTCCTCCGTGGCCGCTCTGGTTGTTGTTAGCGGCTGTGAGTGAGTGCAAGCTTTGCACGGGCTGCAAGCATGGATCTAGCTATTATAATAAACAGCAGCAAGCGATTGCTCCGTTCACATACTCAGCGCTCTGCGTACTGTATTCTCCCTGGTTCTTGTCTGTCAGGCGCGCTCTGCGTACTGTATTTTCCCTGGTTCTTGACTGTCAGGCACGCTCTGCGTACTGTATTCTCCCTGGTTCTTGACTGTCAGGCGCGAGTGTTGCTCGTGTGTGTTTTTTGGGAACTAATTATTTTAAAATAGTCTCTTTCAATTGCAAGTTTTGTAATGTGTTTGTTTGATCAATGGATACACATAAATGCAATTTAATTAAATGGCACCTTGGCCTGTCTTATACCTGTTTGCCTGCAGGACAGTTCCCTAAACTAACATATCATACTAAAATAGGGTGGGGTTGTTGCAACAATTAATCTACTTAGAAATTATCCTAAATTACAGCCAGCTAAAGCTCAGTACCACGCAATAGTTACTTTTACTGGTAACTAGTTACTTTTATAGTGGAGTAACTCAGTTAGTAGGTCAATTACTTTTTGGAAGAAGTAACTAGTAACTATAACTAATTACTTTTTCAAAGTAACTTACCCAACACTGGTAATTATATTTGATAATCTCATTTAACTTCAATTGGAGTGGATTTGAAATATAATGTTAAACATGCGATTAATCGTGAGTTAACTCACCATTACTATGCGATTAATCAACTAAAAAAAATTAATAGTTTGACAGCCCTAATTTATACATAATTCCCCATGTTTCAATGAGACAAAACAACATTTCTCATTTATATAAACTACAGCTTGTGCCAAATTCACTCAAACAGATTGTGTGTGTTTTTAAAGTCTGAGGTGTAATGACCACTGCGCTGACGGCCTGGATGTTCTGAAGGCACTGAGCTTCTGTCTGCTCTTCTATGACACACACTTCATATTTACACATTTGTTTTAATTATTCATATTTCTTGTCCTCGAGAGACACTTCGTCTTGGACTCGGTGCTACACAGTTATTTATACAATAAAAAGACACATATTCAAGAATAAAAGGTAACAATATAAACAGGAGGTGAACGTGTTTGAAGAACTCTGTTAATATTAGGGTTAAAGTAAACAGATGAATGAATGTCCATTGAACAGACAGTAAAAGATGCTAGCGGCCTGTGGCTAATGCTAACGCTAACAGCACTAGCATAACACACACTCACCGATCGCACGGAGCAGGAGCAGCTGCGGTGGTAGAAGGAGCTCTACACGGGGATCATGCAGATGTTCCCTCTGCTCCAATCAGCTGCTGACTTTATGAAGCACAAAGATCAAAGATCGTTGTTAAGGACAGATGCTAGTGGAGAATAAACGATGCTCTCACGTTGGTATTTTAGCCTCTTGTCTGGGAATATTTATTGTTGAACAGCTTGGCAGCACAGGGAGCATGAGCCATAGAGGAAGTTAGCGACAGAACAACATGACTACATCCTGTAGCGCCTTCAAAATAAGAGCTTCTGTTTAGACAGGGAGTAAGAGCAATATAATATAATATTATCTAACAACCCCACTCGCTGTGGGGGTGTTAGAACAAACATTTTCTTTGTAAAACCTTTTAGCTTTTGTCAAAAGATCAGCTATGATTTTATCAGTAGGACAACATTCCAAAACCACCTTCCCTGTGGCTACAACACCTATGATGAAATGATCTTTCACATCACATCGCACTGACCTCCCACCTGATGAAGACCATGGAGCGGCTCATCCTCAACCATCTCCGCTCCGTGGTCAGCCCCACCCTGGACCCGCTGCAGTTCGCCTACAGGCCCAACATCGGAGTAGAGGACGCCGTCATCTACTTCCTGCAGTGGACGCTCTCCCACCTGGAGCCCGCCGGGAGCGCTGTGAGGGTCATGTTCTTCGACTTCTCCAGCGCTTTCAACACCATCAGGCCGGTACTGCTGCAGGGGAAGATGGAGGTCGCAGGAGTGGACAGTAGCCTCACTGCATGGACCATCGACTACCTCTCAGACCGACCCCAGTACGTGCAGCTGTGGGTCTGAGGTGGTAGTCTGCAGCACTGGGGCCCCTCAGGCCACTGGGGCCTCTCAGGGCACTGTCCTCTCACCGTTTCTCTTCACCATCTACACCTCAGACTTCACACACGACACACACAGCTGTCACCTGCAGAAGTTCTCCGACGACTCCGCCATCGTGGGCTGTGTGTTTGAGGGGAACTAACTGGAATATCGGTCGGTTATCAAGGACTTTGTCGACTGGTGTGAGCGCAACCACTTGTGCTTGAACACCAGTAAGACCAAGGAGATGATCATTGACTTCAGGAGAAAACCACTTTCCCACACGCTGCTGAACATCATTTTTTCTGACTCTGTGGTAGCCTCTGCCATATACTACGCTGCTGTGTGCTGGGCCTCGGGCAGCACAGAGCGGGACAGAAACAGACTAAAACAAGTTGGTCAGGAGGGCCAGCTCCACTCTGGGCTGCTCCCTGGACTCTGTGGAGGAGGTGAGGGACAGGAGGCCCCTGGACTCTGTGGAGGAGGTGAGGGACAGGAGGCCCCTGGACTCTGTGGAGGAGGTGAGGGACAGGAGGCCCCTGGACTCTGTGGAGCAGGTGTGGGACAGGAGGGTGCTAGCCAAAGCCACCTCCATCATGAACAATACCTCCCACTGCACAGAACTGTAGAGGAGCTGAGGAGCTCCTTCAGTGGAAGACTGAGGCACCCTCAGTGTAAGAAGGAGCGCTACTGCAGGGCCTTTATCCCCACTGCTGTCAGACTGTACAACAAGTCACTTTAAATCGTCACTGTTTGAAAACCTGCACTACTATTGACACTGTTTCCAATTGACACTTTTGTCGTACATAATTATCCTGCATGTAACATGTTTGCACATTTCCTCCTTTTGCACAATCTGAGTGTTCTATCCATGCCAAATGTGACATGTACATTTCTCCTATGTGAGATAAATAAAGAACATCTTATCTTATCTTATCTTATGTGCTTGCATCTTTGTCTGTTAACAGGATTCTTTGAGTGTTATTGTTCCTTAGTTGTCTTCGAACACTTTTGTTTTAACATATTTGTAACTGTCTAAATCTTGAAGTAGCTGTAAAGACACTCCTGTACAGCTGAAGCTAAAGAGATATGCTCGACATGTAGAAAGGGCTACTGTCGGTTGTTTTTGTGTTTTCCATGAAATGAGTGAACTCTCTTTCACATAGACTGGCACAATATCCTGATGTGCTACGTCTGTCTGTCTCGTTTGAGCCCAACTTGCCTCACAGTAAACTTTTAGACCAAGTTTTTCTGTGGTGTTCTTTTTGAAGTATAGTCTTTGTTCAGTAGTACCTTTGAGATCCCTGAACACATGTTTCACTGTATTCCAGTGTTCCACAGTTGGTTCACTAAAGTGTTGAGAAAGTTTACTGACAACATAAGTGACGTCAGGTCTGGTGCAAGTGGATCAGTAAATTATACTTCCCACTGCCTCTCTGTATTGTCGGGCTGTTTTAACATTTTTGCATTTTCTGTATAATCAAGTTTTGGAATTTCGAAGTTATTGGCATTTTATTTGCTTTACCCTTTCTAAAAATCTTTTTCACATATCCCTCTTGTGACATTTTGACTTGTCCATTAGTTTTTTCAAAATCCATTCCTAAGAAATGTTTCAATATTCCTAAATCTTTCATTTTGAACCTCTGAGTCAGAGACGAGGAGTTTCTCATGAAGAATCTCATTATTATGGCTGTTGGTGCAGTCGCGCAGGGCCTGGGGCTCACTGGGTTCATGTGGGTCAAGTGCAGAGAGGACTAGGGTCATCATGGGTCTCAGATGATCCCCCTCCATCTCACCCTGAGTTTTCCCTGAGTGTGGCCTTCATGTGGAGGGTAAGTCTCCAGCAGTGCAGAGTGTCCATCCTGGAGCCCTGCGAGGGGGACTGGGGACACAGTGACACATGGAAGAACCACTCCATGAGCAGGGGGCACTCACTAAAGTGGTCCCAGGCCAGAGGTCACCTGATCTATTCACCACATGAGTCTTGTTTCTAATAGAATTATGCCAGTTTTGTTTTGGGAATAAACAATAGAGATTGATCATTTGTAATTCTGATGGTGGATCAGCGGAGATAGAAGACAGATATTCTAAATATGTTTTACAGATACAGCTCTCTCCTGATGCATATCTCAGAAATGCAGCACACGTGGTCTATATTTTCAGTGATTTCATGTACTAACACTTTTACACTATGTTGTTAGTGTTGTTTGAGGTTTCATAGGTTTGTTCTTTATGAAGCGGGCTGTTGGACTAATAAGGGAGTTCTTTAGAGGAGGAGATTGATGCCAGACCAGAGACAGCAGCCTTGAGATTTCTTCCTTATCTCAAGGAAGGAAGAAATCTATAGGTTGGAAGTGTGAATCCCTTTTTAGGTGTGGAATGGAGAGATGCGGAGGGGGAAATCAGACAAAGGCCAGACCTGATGCAGAGTCCAGACCGGGACCAGGAACTGGCTGATACGACACGCCCCTTCTGCACATTATTACTTATATGATTTAGCCTGATGTTTTAGTTCAGTCAGATAGGGTGAGCCCATAGGGAAAGAGAGCAGAAATAGTTAGGATAAGGAGCTTTTAGAATTTCTGTATCTGATTGTAAAGATAAATTAAATACAGACGTGAAACTTGAAAATCTTCGTCTTGTTTTCTGCATCAAATTTTGACACTCGCCCAAAGGTTTTTTTAGACAATACTCCATACGTGCATGCTAACATGCTCTGTGCTGTGATGTCCAATCTACATCCTAAGCACAGAGCTAAATCTGTGCATGTGTGGTTTATATTCAGAGCTGCGACTGTGATACTAAGTCTATATGGGCGCCTCGAGCCTCCCATCTAAATGAATGAGAAGAGGAGGAGGAGGAAGAGGGGGAAAGGGGGGTAGACAGAATTGATTTACAGCCTGTGATATCGACTGCTTGGTTCAAAATAAATAAATGATTGAAAGAAATATTGCATCATATTCATCATGACCTTTTTTAATTGTAAAACTGTTCTGTGGAAGTTCTAAGAGTCGACATTGTGATCCATAACGTAATGCTTATGAACCGTTGTGTTATGAATGCCTTGTTGTTCAGAGATTACAACTTTAGGTCTTTCATGACACTTTGAAGCAACTGTGGTTAAAGTTCAAACTCATTCTAACATTTGCACGAGCCAGTACTTTTCCACTTGATGTTTTGGTTATTTCAAGGCTGAAGCTGCTGCTCTGTGGCAGTCGCTGATTGGAGGTCTCTGCTTCTCCTGCTGGATATTAGCTTGCATTTTGTTTGTGTTCGTGCTGGCTCTACCATCAACAATAAAACATGTCTTCTGTCTGAATTAAAGACACGATCCCAGACTTTGTCATCTTCTTCACAACTTTTACCAGTTTATTATGAATGTAGCAAGATTTAGGAGAAAGAATACAATCTACAGACACGGCCTGACACTGTAGAACACAGACGTACAAATGTTTTTACTTTGGAATGTGCTGGAAACTGCAGCAGGTCCTAAGTCGCTCTGAAACAGTCGTTTAGAGCTTTTTTCTACCTGTAAATGTGACTCCAGTTCAGTGTTCATGGTTTTACACTGGTCCAACCAGAGCAGAGAGGATTCATGGTTTTACACTGGTCCAACCAGAGCAGAGAGGATTCATGGTTTTACACTGGTCCAAACCAGAGCAGAGAGGATTCATGGTTTTACACTGGTCCAAACCAGAGCAGAGAGGATTCATGGTTTTACACTGGTCCAGACCAGAGCAGAGAGGATTCATGGTTTTACACTGGTCCAAACCAGAGCAGAGAGGATTCATGGTTTTACACTGGTCCAGACCAGAGCAGAGGATTCATGGTTTTACACTGGTCCAGACCAGAGCAGAGAGGATTCATGGTACGAACCAAATAGAACCATCGTAAATCCACTGGAGGAATGATCATATTTATAATAATACTGATAAAGCAGAAAATGGTCCAAACCAAGAGGCAACAAAGACTACAGACAGGAACCAGAGGACAGGACCCAGAGGACAGGAACCAGAAGACAGGGACCAGAGGACAGGAACCAGAGGACAGGCACCAAAGGACAGGGACCAGAGGACAAGGACCAGAGGACATGGACCAGAGGACAGGAACCAGAGGAGAGGAACCACAGGACAGGGACCAAAGGACCAGAGGACAAGAACCAGAGGACAGGAACCAGAGGACAGGGACCAGAAGACAGGGACCAGAGGACAAGAACCAGAGGACAGGAACCAGAGGACAGGCAGCAGAGGACAGGGACCAGAGGACAGGACCCAGAGGACAGGAACCAGAAGACAGGGACCAGAGGACAGGAACCAGAGGACAGGCACCAAAGGACAGGGACCAGCGGACATGGACCAGAGGACAGGGACCAGAGGACAGGAACCAGAGGACAGGCACCAGAGGACAGGGACCAGAGGACAGGCACCAGAGGACAGGAACCAGAGGACAGGAACCAGAGGACAGGAACCAGAGGACAGCGACCAGAGGACAGGGACCAGAGGACAGGCACCAGAGGACAGGAACCAGAGGACAGGAACCAGAGGAGAGGAACCAGAAGACAAGAACCAGTGGACAGGAACCAGAGGACAAGAACCAGAGGACAGGGACCAGAGGACAGGAACCAGAGGACAGGGACTAGAGAACAGGCACCAGAGGACAGGAACCAGAAGACAGAGACCAGAAGACAAGAACCAGAGGACAGGGACCAGAGGACAGGAACCAGAGGACAAGAACCAGAGGACAGGGACCAGAGGACAGGAACCAGAGGACAGGCACCAAAGGACAGGGACCAGAGGACAGGGACCAGAGGACAGGGACCAGAGGACATAGACCAGAGGACAAGAACCAGAGGACAGGAACCAGAGGAGAGGAACCACAGGACAGGGACCAGAAGACAGGAACCAGAGGACAGGGACCAGAGGACAGGGACCAGAGGACAGGGACCAGAGGACAGGAACCATGGGACAGGGACCAAAGGACAGGAACCAGAGGACAGGAACCAGAGGACAAGAACCAGGGGACAGGCACCAAAGGACAGGCACCAAAGGACAGGAACCAGAGGACAGGAACCAGAGGACAGGCACCAGAGGACAGGAACCACAGGACAGGAACCAAAGGACAGGGACCAGAGGACAGGGACCAGAGGACAGGGACCAGAGGACAGGGACCAGAGGACATGGACAAGAGGACAAGAACCAGAGGACAGGAACCAGAGGAGAGGAACCACAGGACAAGAACCAGAGGACAGGAACCAGAGGACAGGAACCAGAGGACAGGGACCAGAGGACAGGAACCACGGGATAGGAACCAGAGGACACGAACCACAGGACAGGAGGGGCCACCAGAGGACAGGAACCAGAGGAGAGGAACCAGAAGACAAGAACCAGAGGACAGGGACCAGAGGACAGGAACCAGGGAACAGGGGCCAGAGGACAGGGACCAAAGGACAGGAACCAGAGGACAGGGACCAGAGGACAAGAACCAGAGGACAGGGACCAGAGGACAGGAACCAGAGGACAGGCACCAGAGGACAGGAACCAGAGGACAGGAACCAGGGGACAGAAACCAGAGGAGAGGAACCAGAAGACAAGAACTAGAGGACAGGAACCAGAGGACAGGAACCAGAGGACAAGAACCAGAGGACAGGGACCAGAGGACAGGGACCAGAGGAGAGGAACCAGAGGACAGGAACCAGAGGACAGGGACCAGAGGAGAGGAACCAGAGGACAGGGACCAGAGGAGAGGAACCAGAGGACAGGAACCAGAGGAGAGGAACCAGAGGACAAGAACCAGAGGACAGGAACCAGAGGACAACACAATAAGGCCTGACACCAGTGTTTATGATCAAATGGTTTACTCTGTGTATTCAAAGCCAAAGTCAGATGTTGGTGACTCTTGAGCACGAAACACTTTACTGTCGTTTGAAAACGACAGTAAAGTGACACAGGACTGTATTTAGGGAGTAACTGAGAACAACACACATGTATTTTACACTTTTACTGCAGATGATTTTGATTTTCTACAGCGTTGTCACTTATTCAGAACAAACATAAGAAATAGCATTATTTCAAGATTTCAAGATTATTATTTGTCAAACCAAGTGAATGGTTTGAAATTATATTTCTCTCATCCTTGATTGTGGAGCGGGGGGTGGGGGAAGAGGGGTGGGAGAGAGGGCAGGGAGTTCAGCTTCCTGATGGCCTTGTGAATTAAACTGTTTTTAAGTCGACTGGAACTGTTCCGTAAATTCTGCAGTCTCCTCTCTGAAGGCATTACCCTGAAGAGCCTGTGTGATGGGTGCGTAGGGTCTCTGGTGATTCTGACGGCTTTGCGGGTGGAGTACATGTCCTTAATGGTGGGGAGAGGGGCTCCACAGATCTTCTCTGCTGCTCTCACGATGCGCTGGAGGCTCCTTCGGCAGGAGGCAGTGCTGGTGTTGTGCCACCCAGTGATGGAGCTGGTCAGGATGCTCTCTACAGTCCCTCTGTAGAAGTTGCCCACAAACGGAGGCCGGGACTCCTGTAGCGCCTCTTGTGACGCCTCCACTGTGCTGCAGATGCGTGGGGCCCTCGGTGACCTGTCAGCGCTTCAGAAGATGATATCTCTGTATTTGTAGGTCTTAAATACTGCTCAAAAAGCCTTTAGCTCAGATGCTAACTGTGTGTTTACTTTTAAAAACACATCCTCTGTTCAAGAGCTTTGGCAGTAAAAAATCCGCTGAACTCCACAAAAACATGGCAAAGATGTACAACAACATCTTGCAAAACAATGCGGATCACAAAAACTGCAAATGCAGTTTGCAGAAAAGGGTAGAAACGTCACCTTGTCAAGAGAGAGAGAAGCCGCAGCATGTTCATGCGCCGCCATGGTAACAAGGAGTAACCTTATATTAGAACGTAAACAATATAACACACATATTACTGTAAACTGTACATACATTATTCCTGGACTGCCACGCCTTCCTGTCCGTCACATATTTTCATCTACATCACAGCGGAGAGAATTTCAGGATAAAAAGTATAAAGCAGAAGCAAAGGATGATGGTTTTAAAACAGCAGAGAGTCGTATGAAAGTAACTGAAACATGAACAAAAGTATTTGACATTTGTTCAAAGGAGAAACAGCTGCGATGATGTCACACATGACTCAATGTTGTGGAGGTTGGACTGATTGTTGAGAAAACTTTAAGTCTGAGAAATGCACCAAAGCTCACAGCAGGAGAGCTCACACTGAAACAGTCACATGGCGCCATCTGTCGGCTGTCTCCAGAACTGCACCATTAAATACATCTGCACAACTGAAGCTTCGTTTGTGGAGGGGACGTGATCCGCAGCTTTGGAAACACTTTGATCTTTGTGCTTCATAAAGTCAGCAGCTGATTGGAGCAGAGGGAAGAGAGGATCCTGTGCCACTGATTGGTGATTGGCATCAGGGGCAGCAGCAGCAGTGAAGAGGAAGTGACCTGCGCAGCTTTGACTGTATTAGAATCCTGTGTGTGATGATTCCAACATGTTCATATATCAGCCTTAAAACCAGCCGCACTAGAACCACCCTTTAATGTTGCTCAAACTGTGTCGGTGCTTTTCTACAACAAACATCACAATATATGAATGATGTCACACAACAGCGGCTACACAACTGTGCACACGTTTATTCACAAACAACTCAAACCACGTCATTTACATCATGAAGCAAGAATAAGACTGTGCTAAACACCAATGATTGACAGGTCTGAATGAAACAACACTGAAGCCATGTGTGAGAAAGGACTCTTTCTAAGACACACACACACTTTATACTAGTACTTCATGACAGTAGAATGTATAACAACACTCACACGTACACACGGATCACACACACAGCAGAAACTCAGAGCATGTGACTGATGACCTTAAAGACACATGGATCACACAATAATAAAACATGGGACTTATATAGAGCTTTGTGGACACTCAGAGACGCCGCACAAAGGCACAGACACACACTTTTCAGTTTTTTATTTGTTAAAAAAGTTTAAATTATCCAATAAATTTCGTTCCACTTCACGATTGTGCCCCACTTGTTGATTCATGACAAAAAATTAAAATTTTTTATCTTTATGTTTGAAGCCTGAAATGTGGCGAAATGTTGAAAGGTTCAAGGGAGCCGAATACTTTCGCAAGGCACTGTATGTGTGGCCAGACTCACTATTGTTTCAGCTGCTTCTTCAATAGTTTTTATCTGCAGTTTAGTTCAGAATAATAATGTCCCACTCTGTCTCCTTCATCACATGTCAGTTTGAATCTTAGACTTGATGCAGCTTTAAAGGAACCATAAGATTTTCCTTTCAGACAAAAACATGATGTATCCGAGTCTCCAGGCTCAAAGTAAAGATGTTCAAATCCACAATAAGTGTTTGGTCTGTAAAGCTCAGCAGCTGCAGCACAGGGTTAAGACTGAAGTGTGATCCTGTAGAGTCTGACTCTGGGTTCACATGATGCAGCCTCAGCTCCGTCTCCTTCACTTTGTTCCAGATGCTGCGTCTTCACACCTGCTTCTCACAGGTTTGAATGTGATTATAAAGAGATGACCCACGAGTAAAAGACTTTCCACACTTTTCACAAACAAATGGTTTCTCTCCAGTGTGGATCCTCTTATGCAGTTTGAGAGAACCACTCCGACTAAAACCCTGACCACAAAAGTCACAGCTGAAGGGTTTTTCTCCAGTGTGGATTCTGCTGTGGAGCTTGAGATGTCCTTTTGTAATAAAACATGTTCCACACTGATCACACTCGTACGGCTTCTCTCCAGTGTGACTCCGAAGGTGAACTGTGCGATGTGTTGCAGTTCTAAAGGTTTTACTGCAGAGGTCACATACAAATGGTTTTTCTCCAGTGTGAATTTTCTTATGTCTTTTGTAGGAGGAAGACACTGAAAACTTCATCCCACAGTCTCCACAGACAAATGGTTTTTCTCCAGTGTGTATTCTGTAGTGCTGAGTGAGATGAGATAATTGTGTAAAAGTCTTCTCACACTGGTCACATTGGTGACCTCTCTCTCCGGTGTGGACATGCTGATGATGTAATAGCAGCTGTTTGATCCTAAATGTTTTTCCACACTCGTCACACTCAAATGGTTTCTCTCCTGTGTGGAACTTATGATGATCTTTGAGATTACTCTCTTGTCTAAAACTCCGATCACAAAAGTCACAGCTGAAGAGTTTTTCTCTAGTGTGGATTCTGCTGTGGACCTTGAGACCTCCTTTTGTAGTAAAACCTGTTCCACACAGATCACACTCGAGATTTCCTACAGTGTGAGTTCTGTAGTGTCTTTTTAGTTTGGAAGCAGAGATGCAGGTCTTTCCACACTGATCACAGGTGAACCCCATTCTGTAGATGGACTTTGTAGATCTGCAACAAACACAAAGACATGTCATGGATATAGGGTTGGGCAAAATAAGTAGGTAGTAAGTAATCTTTATTTATATACTGCCTTTTCACTGCAGATCAGAGTTTACAATTGTTATTTTTGGGCATCTGTCCTCTCACTCCACACAGAGATGGGAGCGGGGCCAGTACAGGAGGTGCATGCCAGACCTATTGTACATAGTTTTAGTGGTAGGGGAAACCGGAGTACCCGGAGGAAACCTACGCAGACACGGGGAGAACATGCCTTCTCATTCAAAGATTTTATATTTGTGATTACGAAAATTGTAGCTACACACTGAAGGCATAAAAACTATGAATTGACTTATGTGGAATTATGTAGATACTAACATATATATATATATTACATATATATACTGTGCGTGTGTATGTATATATATATTTATTATATGACTTGGACCGTACGCGCGCTCTGATTGGCTGATTACCGGTCTGATATTTTCCCATCTCAGACCGTTACCATGACAATTGGTCCGAACAGCGTGTATCACAATTGATTTCTTTCCCGAGTTTCCTCGGTAAAAAAGAAATAATGGGCGACAACTGGGAGCATTCTCCAGTGAATTCTATTATCCGGACGAGTTTGACGAGCCAGAAGAAGAAATTACAGAAATTAACAAAGAAAAAATAGCTAACAGACAAGATAAGATTGACAACTTCGTTGCAGACCAGAAAGCTAAAAACACGATTAGGAAAACCAAGTCGGAGATCGATATTTGCATAAATTAAAAACAGTCATATGATAAAACATTTATTAACCTCGCTAGCTCGGTTAATAAGCATTTTTCATAATTTTAACATAAGGCGAATATAAGGCGAATTTTGTTAATTAGTAGTGAACATAATATTAACGAAAACAGACTAGTTAACCCCCATTCCTTCCGGGAGTTATGTTTTGTTTTGTCTAACAACAGTACAATTTATAAACAAAAATCAAACAAAGTAACTGTTATTGAGTCCGTGTTTCCTCTCCTCCCAAGGGCTCTTGAACGCATCGCCGCGTAAGTTCAAGCGATCGCAAATGAGGAACGGCGCTTACCGGCTGTCTCTCATGGGGTTGTGAGAGGGTTACTCTTGCACAGTCCTTGTCTTTATTGTTGTCTTTTTGCGCTGAGATCGCTTGTCCTACTCGAACTCACACACAGAAGTGTCCGTGTCTGTCCCTTTTAACCA